TGGTATCCGCTGGTGGTGCTGAAGTCATCCGAAGGCTTGGTGTCCACGGATCTGTTCGAGTCCCTGCTTTCAGTTCTTCTGGGTACGTACCCACAAGTGGAATTGTTGGTCATATGGTAATTCTACGTTAAACTTTTTGAGAAGCTGCCAAGCTTTTCCCACAGTTTTACGTTCCCACCATTTTATATTCCCACCAGCAGTGCGCAAGGGTTGCAGTTCCTCCACTTCCTCACCAACACTGATGATTTTCCTTTTTTTTTTTTTTTTTAATAATAGCCATCTTAATGGGTGTGAGGCATCTTCCTTGTGACTAGTGGTGTGGAACATCTTTTCAGGTGCTTATTGCCATGTGTATATCTCCTTTGAAGAAATGGCTGTTCAAATCCTTTGCTTATTTTTCTTTTTTTCTTTCTTTCTTTCTTTTTTTTTTTTTTCAGAAACAGGGTCTTGCTATGTCGCCCAGGCTCACTGCAGCCTCAGACTCCTGGGCTCAAGCAGCCTCCTGCCTCAGCCTCCCATGCTCATTTTTCAATTGGGTTGTTTGTTTTATTGTTGAGTTGTACGAGTTTTTGTTTGTTTTGTTTTTTTGTTTTTTGAGACAAGGTCTCGCTATATTGCCCGGGCTAGAGTGCAGTGGCATCATCATAGCTCACTGCAACCTCGGACTGTTGGGCTCAAGGGATCTTCCTGCCTCAGCCTCCTGGGTAGCTGGGACAACAGGTGTGCACCACCACATCTGGCTAATTTTTTTATTTTTTGTAGAGTCCAAGTCTCGCTCTTGCTCAGATTGGTCTCGAACTCCTGACCTCAAGTGATCCTCCTGCCTTGGCCTCCGAGAGTGCTAGGATTATAGGTGTGAGCTACGGCATCTGGCCAAGTTGTAGGAATTCTTTATATATTCTCAGTACAAGTCCCTTATCAGATATACGATCTGCAAATATTTTTTGCTATTGAGTAGATTGTCTTTTTACTCTCTTGACAATGTTCATTACATGATACATTAAAGTTTTCAATTTTGATGAAGTCCAGTTTATCTATTTTTTCATTGAAGTCCAGTTTATCTATTTTTTTCTTTTGTTGCTTGTGCTCTTGGTGTCATATTTAAGAGACCATTGTCAAATCCAAGGCCTTGTTTGCCCCTGTTTTCTTCTAAGTTTTACAGTTTTGTGGTTTTAGTTCTTGTAGTTTTATAGATATGTGGTTTATTTTTGGACTCTCTGTTATATTCCATTGATCTGTCTGTCTGTCCTATGCCACTGCTACACTGTTTTGATTACTGTAGCTTTGTAGTAAGTTTTGATATAGGGAAGTATGAATCCTCCAACTTAGTTTTGTTTTGATTTTAAAATTGTTTTGGCTATTCAGGGGTCCCTTACAATTCCATGTGAATTTTAGGATCAGCCTTTCCATTTCCATAAAAAGCACAGAAAGGGCTGCTTGCATTTTGATAGAGATTGCATTGGATCTGTAGGTTGCTTTGGGCAGTATTGCCATCTTAACAGTATTACATCTTCCAATCCATGAACATGGGATAGCTTTCTATTTATTTAGGTCTTCAATTTCAGCAACGTCTTAAGTTTTCAGTGCACAAGTCTTTCACCTCCTTGGTTAAATTTATTCCTACGTATTTTATTGTTTCAGATGCTATCATAAGTGGAATTGACTTAATTTGCTTTTTGCATTGTTCATTTTCGTGTGTTGTTTTGTATCCTGCAACTCTGCTGAATTCATTTATTAGGCCTAACAGATTTGGGGGAGATTCTTTAGGGTTTTCTGTGTCTAAGATTATGTTATCAGCAAATTGTTTTACTTCTTCCTTTCCAGTTTGGTTGCCTCTTACTGTTTCTTTTTCCCGCCTAATTGCTCTGGCTAGAACTTCCAGTACAATGCCGAATAGAAAGTGGGCATCCTTGTCTTGTTGCTGATCTTGGAAACGCTTTCCGTCCTGGGGCAGACGGGAGTCAGAATGGAGGATTTGCATGTGTAGTGCCAGGGCCGGGAGAGGGAATTCGTGGCCCCCTCAGCCTCCTGCCTGAAGCCCGGGGCTCGTAGAGCCTGGATCTAGATGTGGAGTCCTGAAATGACGCAGGAAGCCAGCCTTGTTTGCCAAAGCCCCTCCTCCTGCTCCACGCCCCTTGGCTCAGTTTCCTGAGCCCCTTCCCTTCTGCAGATTGCTCCGGTCCCACACACATCACGGGTGCTTTTGTCCCCACAGAAGAAGAGCCGTAACGAGACATATGGCGAAGGCAATGGCGTGGAGATCCTGGAGAACCGGCCGTACACGGACGGCCCTGGCGGCTCCGGGCAGTACACGCACAAAGTGTACCATGTGGGCATGCACATCCCCGGCTGGTTCCGCTCCATCCTGCCCAAGGCAGCCCTGCGGGTGGTGGAGGAGTCCTGGAACGCCTACCCCTACACCCGAACCAGGTGCGCCCCCTTCTGCCTCTGGGTGCCTCCCGCCGCCTCGTGCTGTCTGGCGGGAAGCAACCTCACGGCGTGGATCCAGGGGCTGGGACCTCCAGACAGGCTCAACACCCGCATGCCCAAGGAGCCCAGGCTCTGTCCCAGACAGGTGCTCTGAAGGTCACCCAGGGCAGGCACAGGCAGGACAGGGAAGAGTACACCCCTGGATGCCTCCAGACTACCCAGGGGTGGAGGCCGTGAAGGCATGGGTCAGACGAGGCATCGGAGACCCTTTGCTGTCTGGGAAGGCGCAGGGAATACAAACTCACTTTGGGTTCCCCTGAGAAGGCCAGAACATTCAGCCTGCTAGGAAGAAGCTGAGGGTAGACCAGATGGCCCAGAGGTTCCCCTCAACTCTGAGACCCTCAGCTACAGCGACAGCATGTGTTACATCTCACGCCCAGCAGGGCTTTCCTTGGAGTCACCTGGTAGGGGGTTCTTCCGTCTGTGCCCCCCCCAGGGTACAGCTCAGCACTGCTGGGTTGGATAGATAGGGGGCTGCTCCCTACCAGCCACCCGCTTGCTGAGCAGATGGTGCCCCCACAAGTCTGCCAGGGTTCCCTTCCTTCCCCACGTCGGTGAGCACCCGCCTGGAGCTGGCTGGAGGATCCACAGAGGTTCCTCCTCCCAGCGGCACTTTCCGCCATAAGCTCATCTCCAGCCCAGAGGGGGGCTGTTCCCTGGTGCCACCGCTGGCTCCCTGGGGAGCAGGGGTGGCCTGGCCCAGAAAGCACTGGCCCCAGATTCTGCCTGCTTGACAATACACCGCCATAGCTGTGCCTCCGTCCCCACCACGCCATGGATGCCTCCTAGGAAGCTCTGCGGCTTCTCGCACACTGTGTCCCTCTCCCCCTAAACTCGTACCTCTCCCCACCCTGGCCTTGGCTGTTCTTGGGACAAAGTGGTGGCCCAGAAGGTCGGTGGGGCAATGAGTCCTTGCTACCGTCCACCCCTCCTCTTCTCACTCTCCCAGCTTCACTCCTCCCCTGTGGCCCAGCGGGTTCTGGCTGGCCGCCCCGTGGCCCCTCCAGGCACGGTCCTGATGGGTGCTTTCCTTCCCCCACAGGTTCACCTGCCCTTTTGTGGAGAAATTCTCCATCGACATTGAAACCTTTTATAAAACCGATGCTGGAGAAAACCCCAACGTGTTCAGTCTCTCGCCTGTGGAAAAGGACCAGCTGACGATTGGTAACCAGGAAGGGCAAGGGCCCCGCGGGGCTCTCTTCTGGGCTTCCCACCTGCAGGCCCCTCTCAGTTCTGTCCCTGGTCCCCAGCCTGGCCGACTCCAGACCTGGCCCCATCCCAGGCGGGCAGGGCAGGTCCAAGCGTGCATGGGAAGGCAGAGCAGGCCCCTCGGCCCGTTCTGATGCGCACACCGAGTCCAAGTGCCTTTGCCACCTGGAGCCCCTGCCCTCCATCCCTTTGAGGTGTCCCCACTTCCGAGAAGAGCACGTGAGTGGTAGGGCGGGGGCTGTCTCGTGTCAACAGCCGAGCGTCAGTGCTCAGGGCCAGTGGGGGCCACAGCCCAGAACGGGGCCTGTGTCCTCTTGACGGTGGGTGCCTCCACCCCTCCAGGTGACGGTGCCACACAGGAAGTGGGCCCCATTGTTAAGCCATCGTTTTTTCAAGAGAGGCCAGAGATGAGGATTTCCACGTGAAATCTCCCAATTCCTAAATGTTGGCAACCAATTAAAAAAGCTTTGTGAATAAACGTATGCCAGTCAAACGAAACACAGCTCTGGGCCAGATCCTGCTTGGCAGCAGCAGCCTGACCTCGGGGTGCCAGGCCCAGGTCGCCAAGGAGGCGTCTCGGGGTGGGGGTCAGCTGGTCAGGGAGTACGTGCTGCACCCGACCTCCACTTGCGTTTTCCAGCCCCTCTGGGGTTTGGGATCCTTATTAGTGGCCCAGGTCTGCCATGTGACAAAGCACCATGTGACAAAGCATGACAGTTGTGGAAGCTAGAGTCTGCATTAAGGTGTCAGTGGGCTGGTTCCTCCGAGGGCCGTGAGGAAGAATGTGCTCCAGGTTTCTCTCCTGCTGTCTGGGGGCTGCTGGCCGTCCTCCGTGTCCCTGGACTTGCAGACACACGATTCCAGTGCAGGGTGGTCACACAGTCATCTCCCTCTGTGTCTGTCTACCCCTGGGGCTCCTCTTCCCATAAGGGCACCTGTCCTGTGGATTAGGGGCCACCTTCACGGCCTCATTTTAACTTGATTACCTCTTTAAAGACCCTATCTCCAGGCCGGGCGCAGTGGCTCACGCCTATAATCCTAGCACTCTGGGAGGCCGAGGCAGGTGGATCACTCAAAGTCAGGAGTTTGAGACCAGCCTGAGCAAGAGCGAGACCCCATCTCTACTAAAAATAGAAAGAAATTATCTGGACAACTAAAAAAATATATATAGAAAAAATTAGGTGGGTATGGTGGCGCATGCCTGTAGTCCCAGCTACTCAGGAGGCTGAGGCAGGAGGATCGCTTGAGCCCAGGAATTTGAGGTTGCTTTGAGCTAGGCTGATGCCACGGCACTCCAGCCAGGGCAGCACAGCCAGACTCTGTCTCAAAAAAAAAAAAAAAAAAGACCCTATCTCCAAATAAAGTCACATTCAGAGGTGCTGAGTTTAGGACTTCAGCACACAAATATGCAGGGATTTGGGGGTGGTAGTGGCCAAATTTTGCCCATAACAGGAAGAAAGGACCAAGCATGAGCTGGGCCCTCTGGCAGCTCTGTCCGTCCAGCCTGGACAAGGGCTCCCCCAGAGGCTGGCTGCCGTGATTCCTAAGTCCCCACGACATTACCCACTCACGGCCCAGCCCTGCCCTTGGCAGCCTTTGCCTGCCCACGTGGGCGTGGCGCGTGGGCTGCTCCGGGGAGGAAGTTCATCATTCCCCACATGCTGCTGCCCTCGGACTCGCTCCTGACCTCGCTGGTCTCGTGACCATGTCTGTGTCTGCAGCCCAGATACTGTGGGGACGGGTGTGTTCGCGAGGCTGAGGTGTCCAGCGCCTGGTTGGGGCAGACCCACCCAGAAGGGCGCTGTGAGCCACAGACCCTCTCCTGGGGTCCTTTCCCACCGAGCGTGCACCTGGCCCCGTCCTGCACACACGTGCCTCGGGAGTGAGCACGGCGCGATGGCTTTGCCTTTGGGGAAGAGATGCCCCTGTGAAGGGAAGACTTGTGACAGGAGGCGGCACAGCCCACGTCCTGCCCAGAGTCACCACCCCCTCCCCTCGTCACCCCCACTGGGTCCCACCAGCCCCCAACCCTGTTTTCTCCAACCCCAGCTCTTCAGCATCCGCTCCTGCACTCGGGCCCCAGGCCCTGCCTGGCCCCTTCAGACGTCTCAGCCGGTTCTTCTCTGTCCAGGAGGGTTTCCTAACAGCCTGCACATGTCCCTGCTGGCTTACGACCTGTACAGAGGTCCACGTGGCCCTTGGGACGCTGTACGCATGGCTGGCTTGGAGAGAAATGGCCGGTGGGTGCAGCGCAGCCCCGCTGCCTCTAAGACAGCTGCCGCCCTTCCCCCATACAGACTCCCTGGTGGTCCCCCAAGTCCCCCACCTCTCCGTCAAGGGCCAGAGCTGCAGGGACACCCTCGGCCTCTCAGTTCCACTCTTCCGGGAAGCTCTTCCCGGTGTCCTCTCTATCCCCGCCTCCCGCTGCTCTCCATGGAGACTCATCTGCCCGGTGTGTCCTCCGCCCGTCCCCATCTACCTGCTGCGCCACGTTGTAGGTCGCACTCGGAACATGGGTGTTGCTGAAATGACTTGAAAAGGCAGCAAAGATAGGTGCAGGGCCTGCTGTCGGGTAGCTCAGGGTCAGAGCTGCCCGGGGCACCATCCTCACCCCGCACAGAACTCCCGGCCCGGCGAGGCCCCAAGCCCTGTGATGACATGGGGGTGGAGAGACACGGGGAGGAGCCGGGTGGGGGGTGAGGTTGGGGCAGAAGTGGCCACTCGCAGGGTCTCCCCACAGATTTCATCGACATTGTCAAAGACCCTGTGCCCCCCAACGAGTATAAGACAGAAGAGGACCCCAAGCTGTTCCAGTCAGCCAAGACCCAGCGGGGGCCCCTGTCCGACAACTGGATTGAGGAGTACAAGAAGCGAGTCTTCCCCATCATGTGCGCCTACAAGCTCTGCAAGGTGGAGTTCCGCTACTGGGGCATGCAGTCCAAGATCGAGAGGTTCATCCACGACACCGGTGAGCACGTACCTCGCGCGGCGGGCCGTGGCCAGGGCTGCCTGGGCCTCCTTACCTGTCTCCTCCTCTCTCTGCATGTCTGCCTGGGATTCCATGTTTCTACTTTCTTCCTGAAAAGTAACACCAAAGCCGTCAACTTCCCCTAGTTTATCTTGCCCCCCATGAATGCTCGCCGAGCACCAGCAGTGTGTGTTGTCTGCCCCCAGATAGTCCTGACCTGGTTCGTGTTTGATAAGGTGTAGGCCGCACCCCACTGGGGCCAATGGCCCCTGGGGACAGCTTCCCTGCCTCCTGCCTGGCCCGTTTCCTCTGCTGGAGGAGGCCCAGCCCCTAGGCCTGGGGCCACAGCTCTGCCTCCGCCATTGGGCTGGCAGCTCTCGGGACAGGGTGTCTCAGACATTGCAGTGTCCTTCACACCCATGTGGGCTTGGCCCAGAGCAGGTGTCCAGGCAGCAGGTTGACAAACAGATGGCCTGGGGCCCAGTGAATGGTGACCCAGCCTCCCCGTCACCTGGAGTCTTCGGCCCCTGCCCATGCTGAGGTTGTGGCATCAGCTCCGTGGGCCAGTTCCAGCCCCTGGGGCTCTTGACCCAAGATAGGCGCTCCAGCCAGACGCCTGGTGACACCGTGTGCAAGGGTGACTTAATTTGAACAAGAACAGGCCTCGCTGTCATCAGTACACTCCACACTTGTCACGATGACCACGTGGGTGGCCTTGTCACCCCATAGATGGGGAAGAAGCAGAGACCCCACACTGGGGCAGAGGCAGACCTACACCTACCTGCTCCTACCCAGCCGCGTCCGAGCACACGTCTCCCACGCTTCCCTCGTGGGTCTCGTTAGACAGCGTGTGCAGTGTCAGTGCTGCCAACCCCGAGGGAAGGGTCGTCGCGCACTGCTAAGGATTGGGGTGCGGGCGGCAGGTGCACCACTTTGAGAGCCAGAGACTCGATGTGGACTTGGCCTTGACCGTGTGTGATGGCGTTGCCAGCTCCGTCCCCAGGGCAGGACTCCCAGACACATTGTCCACCACTCCTTTTCCAGAAGGACTACTGCGATGTCCCTTAGCAGCTGGGGAGGTGGCAGGGAGAGAAGAAAAACATCCCATCGGTTGAAGGGGACGCATCCCGCAGTCTGTCTCTCTCACCCAGGGAGCTTAGACTGGCCCAAACCAGCCTCCCCAGCGCTGAGGTCTCGGGCAGGAGGAAGGCAGTGTCCCAGACGGAGACAGCCCCGGTGTGAGTCAGGCCTGCCTGCCCACCAGAGCTGTGCCCCCTCTTTTGGGACGGGAATGACAGTTCTTACCTCCCAGGGGATGGGAGGACAGGCGGGGAGTGTGGGAGGCCCCCAGGTTGCCCCAGGGATCCGAACACGTCAGCCCTAGTGACTTGTCCCACCCTCTCTTCGAGGTTCCTCTGGGGTCAACCCAGCACGGGACACCCAGCAGATTGCTAAGGGCAGCGCTTGGGCTCTGCGGGTCCCCTCAGGCCTCCCCAGCCCCACACTGCAGCTGGGATCCTGGCTGAACTGTAGGACTCCCCGGGCCCCTGCAAGTCAGTTCTCCCCTCAGGAAGAAGGGTCGTGGGGCTGCTGTTGCATCCAGTCCCATAGTCACGTAGTGGCCCCGTCATCTCTTAGCCTCTATGAGCCTCGCTTTCCTTGTCTGTAGAACGGGTGTGATAGCCCCGTCCTGTAGGGCGTGGTGGGATGAGATTGTGCAGCACAGAACCAAAGAGGGACGTGCCACGTAGTTGATGCTCGATGACAGCTGTGAATACTAATGTTATCATGGGGACAGTTGCTGGACTCACAAGGGCTGGGTTGGGCTTCCTCTAGTGGCCTTGGTGAGGCGATTCCTAGGGGCTGGGACAGGTCCTTGCTGTCCCCATTACTGCCTGGCCCCAGATGTGCTGTTGTGTCCAGCCGTTCCAGCCATCCCAGGAGAAGGCCTTCCCCCCGTGGGTGAGAGCATTTCCCCTCCTGGCAGCCCTGTGAGACAGGAGAGGGGCCCAGAAAAGGATGCGGAGGTTCTTCAGTGTGGTCAGCCTGCGGCCATCCGCCAGGGCTTGGGCAGGGGACACAGGCAGGCCCGGCTGAAGGAGGCTCCATCCCACAGCTGGGCTGTGAACGGGCTCTAGAAGGGAAGGCACCAGGCTGCAGAGCTGGCGGCCTGAGCAAAGCTGCAGTGGAAACGGGGTGAGAGGGAGGAAGGGTCCCCAGGAGACCAGCCCCGGAATGTGACATGGCTCGACCACTCGGAAAGCTGCTCCGCGTTCTCTAGGGAAGGGAAGACACGTGCCCTGAGAGCCAACGCCTGTGCCTCCCAGCTCTGTTACCTGGAGAAACTCTCATGCACGTTCTGGAATGTTCAGAGCAGCAGGTTTAAAAAAGCTGGAAAATCTATGCAAAGGAGCCAAGGCCCGCTGGCAGGAGAAGGAACACATGAAATGTGGCATTTCAACACGTACATAGCACACGGCAGCAAACCTGATGAACTGGGCCCCCCGCACACGTATCCCTGCATAAAACTCCCCCCAAAGAAGCAAGTGGTATACATGGAAATTTCAACAGCAGCCAGACCAGCCGATGCCTCGTGCAGAAAAACCCCGTCTGTGTGCTAAAGCCAGAGTGCAAAGCCAGTGACACAAAATTCAGGACAGACTCTCACGGGGACGGGTGTGTAGAGAGCTCTCTGTCGCTGGTAGTGCCTGTCCCTTCTCGGGGTGGTGTGGACATGGATGTTTAATTTATTTTTAATGACTTTTTAAACAGCTTTATCGAGGCGTAGTTTTACATACCACACAGTTCCACCGTTGTGAGAGCAGTTCGGTAAGATCTCGTAGTATTCACAGCTGTGCTCCGAGCTCCAGAGCATTTCATCGCCCCAGAGGGTCCCTTGTTCCCATTTGAGGTCACCCCCACTCCCACCCCAGCCCAAGGCAACCCCAGTCTGCTTTCTGTGTCTGTTTTTCTTTTATTATTCTTTATACCTTAAAACGTATGTTATTTTACCGTATTTTACATCTTAATTTGTATATATAATATATTCTTATATATCTCACGCATAATATATTCTACTAATACTAAAAGAAATTTTTTTAAAAAAAAAAACAATCTGGTTTGAACTTGAACTTGATTTTTGAACTTGATTTCCCTTTGATGGGAAATGCAACAGGAAAACTTTACCAGACACTGAGACAGGAGGCTCTCAGGATGCCTTCCTCCACCTCCCCCGGGCAGCAATGCACCCCAAGGGAACTGTGGCTTCTGACTGGACGCATTGCTTTGGGAGGCTCCTCACCCTAAGTGTAGAGCCACTGCAAGCTTGTGAGGCCATCTGCGAGCCAGTCCCCTCGTCTCACAGTGGGGAAACTGAGGCACAGGCAGGCAGTGATTCGTACCTGGCCTGACCCCTCCCTCCGTCTCCCCCCGCGGTGCAGGCCTGCGGAGGGTGATGGTGCGGGCACACCGGCAGGCCTGGTGCTGGCAGGACGAGTGGTACGGGCTGAGCATGGAGCACATCCGCGAGCTGGAGAAAGAGGCACAGCTCATGCTGTCCCGCAAGATGGCCCAGTTCAACGAGGAGGACGAGGGGGCCGCCGAGCTCGCCAAAGACAAGGCTGCCCAGGACCAGGCCTCCAGGGAGCCCCCCGAGCCCAGCAGCAACAACGGGGAGCCCCTGGTGGGGCGGGGCCTGAAGAAGCAGTGGTCCACGTCCTCCAAGTCGTCGCGGTCATCCAAGCGGGGAGGTGAGCTCCAGCACCACCCGGGCCCACACTGGGGGCCCTGCCCTCGAGGCGGCACCCTCCCTGCCACTGCTAGATCACTGTGCCTCCGAAACAGCCTCTTTCTTGTGGCCGTTGTGGCTCCAAGCCCGCAGGGAGTCGGAGCCCTTCCCTTCCTGACCGGTGCCAGGCCAGTCCTTGCCTCACAGTAAAGCCTGGACCCCCCAGCGGGCTCCCAAGGCAAGACAGGCCACCACCCTGAGGAGCCAGGGGACGCAGGTCTGGGCAGGCTCCCCCAGCACTGCAGAGGGGCCTCAGCCCCCCAAGGCGGAGCCTGCAAGGCTTCAGGTCCTGAGAACAAGAACCAAGCAGGGTTTCAGGGTGGATCCAGGCGCGCCCCCAGGCCCGTCCAATCGCACATCCTGGGCTCATGCCCCATTCACTCCTACCCCTACGTGCCCCTGGGACACACCTGCCAGTGGGAGGGAAATCGTTTTGAATGGTCCAGGAGCTGCCACCCAGATGCGCCCAGGCCCCTCCACCCCTTATTTCTCTACTCGTTCCCTTCCAAACCCTCCCGGCTCCGGTGGCAGCCTCTGATGATGCCCTCTGCTGGCTCTGCGCAGCCTGTGGGCTCCTCCCCTGCAGGCTGGGCACTGAGCCTGGAGTTTTGCCTTCCAGCCAGCCCTTCCCGCCACAGCATCTCGGAGTGGAGGATGCAGAGCATCGCCAGGGACTCGGACGAGAGCTCAGATGACGAGTTCTTCGATGCGCACGGTAGGCAGGCCGCGCGCCCTGCGCGGAGGGGTGGACTGATGTGGGAACTGCCTGTTAGTGTCCTGTGCCCCTTCCCTGCACCTGCACTGTCCCAGGTGACGGCGTGGTGTGTGGGGGGCGCACAGAATGAGAGGACGTCACCAGGAAGCTGGCTCCCTTGAGCCTGGGATCTCCGGCTCCCCCAGCCTGATACCAGGATGTGCCTGGGCCTGGCAGGGGACACTGCTCTCTGGAAAGCCCCCAAAAAGAACATGTCACCAGACTGGGGCTTTGTTCCATACCTGAATTTATTTCCATAGGAAGTATAACTTACTATAATTTTCTACCTTTTTGTATATTCTCTGTTTTTTGTTGATTAAATTAATATTATATCTAATGTAGACGCTTTAGAAAGCGCAGTAAGCAAGAAATATTTGAAATGCGCTTTGCCCCGCTAGTCCCCAAATAAGCACGATGAGCACAAGGCACTTGCTCACCCGGAGCCCCGGCTGTTCCTCCCAAGGGAGTCAGGGGGCTGCAGGCAGGCGCCAGGGACAGGTCCCTCAGCAGGCTGGTGGCCGAGCTTGCCGCAGAGTTCACGCAGCAGGGCAGAGGCTCAGAACGGGATGGGGACTTGCCCACAGGCACCCGGCAGGGCACAGGCAGGGTCAGATCTCATGCCCTGGCCCAGAGGGGCAGAAGAGCCACGTCGGGACGGAGTCTCCGTTAACAGGCCGACCGGCCCTAACGGGAGAGAACTCGGGGAGTTGGCGTCCGGGCAGGGGGAGGTGCCTGGGTTGGCCCTGGGCTGCAGAACAGGGGCAGGTGGTTCCTGAGCCAGCCTCTGCAGCGGGGGTCTCGCCGACGGTGGGGAAGGGGCATCTCGGCATCTCACCCCTCCCGGCTGGCTCTTTGTCCCTGACAAGAGGAAAGTACACATCGAATGTAGATGAGGCTGCCCGGGAGGGACAGCGAAGCAGGAGAAGCCAGAGCAGCAGCGCCTGGGACCCATCCCGAGACGGAGAAGGGTCCGAGTGAGCCGGAGCCCAGACAGCGGCCTCGGACCCAGTGGTCCTGGGCAGAAGTTCTAGAAAAGCAGAAGCGAGAGTCATGGGTGCGGCGTGCACAGCAGATTCCTCACAAAGCTGTGCTTTGGGGGTGTTAACATGGTCGGGAACGTTGGCTGATGGGTGGGCCAACAAAAGTGGTCTGTCCGTGCCGTGGACTGTGACCCAGCCGTGGAAAGGGACGGAGCCCTGACGTGCCCCACAGCACGGACAGACCTTGAGACACCGCTGAGTGAACGGAGCCAGCCACAAAGGCCACACAGCGCACGATTTTGCTTATAGGAAATGTCCAGAATAGGCAAATCCACAGACACGGAGAGTGGACTGATGAGGGTGGCCGAGGCGGGAAGGACTGCCTGTGGGCACGGGGTTTCCATTTGGGGTGGTGAGAATGTTCCGGAATTAGATGGTGACGATGCTTGCTCAGCTTTGTGAATTGTGAATATACTAAATGCCAGTTTTATAAGGGTTTAAATGGTAAATTTTGTTATGTGACTGCTACCACAAATTTTTTTAAATGATCAGGAAGCAGCCCAGGGGGGTGTGGCTGCTGCCTCCTGCTGAGGAAGGGCGAGAGCGGAGCGGGTGTGTGTGGAGGGCACCTGGGTCCCCTGGCCTCCCCCAGTCCCCAGTGCTACTGAGGTCCCCTCTCTCCCCTCCAGAGGACCTGTCCGACCAGGAGGAAATGTTCCCCAAAGACATAACCAAGTGGAGCTCCAATGACCTCATGGACAAAATCGAGAGCCCAGAGCCAGAGGACGCACAGGGTACTGGCTCTGGGGGGCTGCGGGGCCTGCGTGGGGGCTGAGCCCCTGCTTTCTGACCCAGCCCCTGCACAGTGCTGGGCATCTGGGGGTCACGGCGACGGTTACAAGCTCCGTCCAGCTGGCCCCGCTGGGCTGCCCGGTGGCCCTGGGCTCATGCACAGCTTCTGTGTTGCAGACGGTCTGTACCGCCAGAGCGCCCCCGAGTTCAGAGTGGCCTCCAGCGTGGAGCAGCTGAACATCATCGAGGTGGGTGCCCAGGTGCCGGGGGGACAGGGACAGGGCACAGAGGAGCAGGCCTGGGGCTGCGGAGGTGGTGCTCTGTACCCACCTCCACGCCTGGCCTGGGCGTCAGCAGGGAAAGGCCCGGGCCTTCTACTTTCCGCCCTGCTGGGAGGGCACCTACCACCCTCTCTCTCCCTACAATGTCCCTGAGAACCAAGGACTGAAGACAGCCCCTGAGGAAGACCTTGACCAAGCTCTACCCATGGGAAAGTAAAATGAGAAACTTGTAAATTCCAGATCAAAAATAAGATCTTCACCTTGTGCCCAGCCTGTCTGCTGGCCCTGAAGACAAAAAGACAGAAGGGGAGGAAGCAAAAGTCGTCTAGGCAGAAGTGATGTGGCCATGGCCAGCGCAGTGGCCTCGTAGGGAGCAGGCAGAACTCAGTGTGCCCAATAAAGCTGCCTTGGTAGAGCACCTGTGTCCACTTCGGGGGTTCTTTGCCGGAGCTCGCGCCCCCTCCTCCTCCATGGGCGGGTGGTCAGAGCTATCTGCACGGTGCGGGAGCCTGGCCAAGCCAAGCTGTCCCTCAGGTCACCCCACTGCTCTGGCCTCAGGCTGCCCAAGGTGGAGACAGCACCTTCTTTCTGGGGAACTGGACCCCCCTGGGGAGTCTGGGGGCTGGGGGAGGGGCATCCACCCCCCCCCCGCCCCCTCCTGGGGGTTTCTGCTCGAGGTGTGAGGTCGAAGTGGGCTTTTCCAGAAAGGGTAACGGCTGAAGGGGAGTTCATTTCCTATTGCTGCTTAATAGCTAGATAAAGCAAATGGAGCCCCCTCCCCTCCTACAGCGCACACAGCTCTGACAGCCCCCCGGGGAGGGGCAGGGGCTGGGGCTCTAGATCTGCCTGGGGATGTGTGTTTGGACCCCAGCGCGTTCTGGGGTGCCGCCATCCAAAGCCAGATCCTTTTGCTGCAACAGCCTCCAAACCGGAGCCCCCTCTCCCAACCTTGTGGAGACACTGACCAGGGGACGCCCTGGCTCTCCAGAGCCGGCCCCCCAGCTCCCACCAGGGTCCCTGGCAGGACAAGTTCCTGTCACAGACTGAATGTGAGGGACCCCGCAGCAGTCCCGGAACAGTCTCCAGTGCTGGACACAGCCGGACAGAGGACTCTCTAAGTTCAGCCCCCACTGCCCAGCCCCGCCCGTCCTCTGGGGACCAAGTCCTGCCGTCACAGGGTTCCTCCACCAGCCGTTCGCCTTGCTGGGCTGGAAGAGCCCTTGTCAGATGAGCCCGATGGGCTACTGGCTGTTCCATCCTGGCCTGTGGGCAGCTGGTGGCCCCACCCTGCCCTGGGCTGTGAGCTGGTTCCCGCCCAGGCTGGCCAGCAGCAGGCAGTCCCTATATGGGGACACGTGTCAGTCCTGCCCCAGCCCCAGTGAGAGAGAAAGAAGGTGGCCCTTCCCAGGGTGAGGGCAGACCAGCCTTCCTCCTGCAGGCCCAGCACCACCCAGCAGACATCCCCCCTCACTCACCCAGAGCCCACCCTGCCCAGTGGCTCCCGGCCAGCCCAGCCTGGCCCTTTGAACTTCCTGATCCAGCCCCCGAGATGCCCACGTCCCCCATCCTCTGTGTCGGCACCTAGGTCCTGCAGCTGCTCCCACCTCCTGCCATCTGGTGGCCCCACTCAGGGCCAGCTGTCTCCACCATAGGCCCTCGATGGCTTTGGCCCCTTGGTCTGTCTCCCCGGGTCCTTGGGGACAGGACCCTCCCCTCAGCTCCTTCCCCACTGCTCACCCCCCACCAGACATAACATGGGCACAGCAAGTACATGCCAGTGGCCCCTCTTGGGCCCTGGTACCCACCAGTCACACACCAGAAACTCAGGGTGAGGGAAGTCCCTGGGGACAGGGCCACAGCCTGGGTTGGCAGGAGAGGGCTGAGCTATGGCAGGGGCTCAGGGTTCCATCCCATTGGCAATGACATGCCGTGTGATGTTAGACCAGTCCCTTGGCCTGGAACAGTGCCGCACCCCGTGCACAGGTGTGCAGGTCGAAGGTCGCACTTTGACCTCACAAGCAGGCCTGGCCAGGAGGAAGGAATGGCAGGGCCTGGGGCCCGGGGCCCAGAGTAGGGAGGCCCCACGTAGAGGGAGGGAGAGCTCGGAGCTGCCCCAGAGGGGCAGGGTTGCTGCCCACCCGGGCTATGGTTGCCCTGACCCAAGCCATGCTTAAGTGACCCCTGGGACTTTGAGCTGGTGGTGGCTTCGTCTGGTTGGCCAAGACAGACACACAGAGGGTAGGAAGCCCCCGAGGCCGGGACCGGCTGAGCCTCTCTGCCTTCCCTTCAAGCCAGAAGCCCGGAAAGCCCCTGCCTGGGCTCCCGCCCATGTGCCCTGGGCATGCTGGCAGTCGGGGCTACAGCGGGCAGGGGGGTCCCCACCTCCCTGGCCCCTCCCCAGGCTTCAGTCCCGGCATCCCACAGGGGTCTGAGAGAAGGGCTTGAGGCAGCCGAACACCAGGTCACGGAGCTGATTAGTGGCACTCGGGGGTCTCAGAGGGAGCAGTGGGTGGGACCAGCCTCCCACCAGGTTGATGGGGCCTTCTCCAGGAGCAGAGTCCCGGGGAGTTGATGCCCACCCCCCTGCCCGTGCAGGACGAGGTCAGCCAGCCACTGGCCACACCGCCCTCCAAGATCCATGTGCTGCTGCTGCTGCTGCATGGAGGCACCATCCTGGACACGGGCGCCGGGGACCCCAGCTCCAAGCAGGGCGACGCCAACACCATCGCCAGCGTGTTCGACACGGTCATGCGCGTGCACTACCCGAGCGCCCTGGGCCACCTCGCCATCCGCCTGGTGCCCTGCCCGCCCGTCTGCTCAGACGCCTTCGCCCTGGTCTCCAAGTGAGTGGTGTCTGCACGCTGGTGCCCGCCCTCGCCCGCTGCCCCTTGCTGATCCTGGGGGCATGTGGGGAGGGCGGCAAAGTGCTGGCCCTGTCCCACGCCTGAGCCTCCAGCGGCGCCCCCAGTGTCGGTACCCCCATGCGTCCCGAGGTCCAGACCTGCCACCCAGGCCCCTCTGCCTGAAGGTGGCAAAACATGCAGACAGGCTAGGCTTAGAGCCAGGGAAGGGCTGGGGCCCAGGCACAGCCTCAGTTTCTAAACCTGTAACATGGGGATACTGACCTGCCTCTGACATACAGGGTCTTACTCACCTGCCCTGTTCCCCAAGCCTGCCCAGCCTGGCCTGCCAGCGTCCCCACAGGTGTTTGCTGAGCCAGCGGCTGAGACGTGGGTTAGGGAGAGGAGCCCTGTGGGCCTGAGCTGAGGCCACTGCCCTCTCCCAACCCCCTGCTCCCCCAGCCTCAGCCCCTACAGTCACGACGAAGGCTGTCTGTCCAGCAGTCAGGACCACATCCCTCTGGCCGCGCTGCCCCTGCTGGCCACCTCCTCACCCCAGTACCAGGAGGCGATTGCCATGGTGATTCAGCGGGCCAACCTCGCCTATGGGAACTTCATCAAGTCCCAGGAGGGTGTGACCTTCAACGGGCAGGTGAGTCCTGGGGTGGGGTAGAGAGAAGACCCCCAGGGCGGGCTGGTACAAGGTAGAGGGTGACACTTCCCCAGCCTGCAGCCCAGGAGCAGGGCGGCCACTCAGGCTTCTGGGCCCCTCCTGCACCCAGGTCTGCCTGATTGGGGACTGCGTCGGGGGCATCCTGGCGTTTGATGCCTTGTGCTACAGCAACCAGCCGGTGTCGGAGAGTCAGAGCAGCAGCCGCCGGGGCAGCGTGGTCAGCGTGCAGGTACCGAGCAGGGCCCAAACGTGCATCGAGGCCTGCAGCCTCCTGCGTGTCCCACAGCGTTGCTGCCCCGCCCCCAAGCAGAGTGCCAGCAGACACCTCCTGAGTCCAGCCAGCTCGGACTCCGCCCAGCCGAGCTCCATTTATTCGTTCAACAAGTGTTTTCTGAGCCTCAAGCCCCAGCCCTGTGGGAGCCCAGCTGCAGGGCAGCCAGCGTGGAGGGGTCGGGGGACGTAGGGGGAGCTGAGGAAGCCCAGCAAGTTCTGGCCAGGGAGTCAGGGAGCTGTAGGAGCTTTTCTCAGAATCCTGCTCCCCTCACACCCCCAAGAAAAGATGGGAGGGCAGAGGTTGCCAGCACAGGTGCCCAGAGGTGGCAGGGCAGGTGCGTGGGGCAGGTGAACAGTCCCAGCAGGGCCAAGCCTAGGAGCATGTGTGGCCTCACCGGCCACAAACCAGGGTCTGCTCCGTGGGTGGCGGGGTCTGGTCCCAGGAGGTGGGACAGGTGGACCCTCGCTGCTTCCCAGCAGGGAGGGAAAACCCCAGGTCCCTCTGCTGCAGAGTGGCAGAAGCCTGTGGGGCATGGCCCAGGTCCAGGGTGGCCAGTGGGTTGGGGACACGGGCTCTCCCCTCTGGTTTGGGCCAGAGGCTGGCTGGGTAGTGGCCGGCCAGGAGGGAGGAGGCCACTTCCCGAGCCCCGAAGAAGGGACCAGGCCAGCAGCCACCCGGCAGTGAGCCTCCACGGGGCCGTTCCAGGACACTGACCTGCTATCCCCGGGCATCCTGGTGAACGCAGCACACTGCTCCAGCAGCGGTGGCGGTGGTGGCGGTGGCGGTGGCAGTGGTGGCGGCTCCAGCCTGGAGAACAGCCGGCACCTGAGCCGCAGCAACATCGACATCCCCCGCGGCAGCGGCAATGGCACTGAGGACCCCAAAAGGCAGCTGCCCCGCAAGAGGAGCGACTCATCCACCTACGAGCTGGACACCATCCAGCAGCACCAGGCCTTCCTGTCCAGGTGGGTGGGCCCGCGGGGCTCCGGGGACAGACACGGAGGCCCATTGCCGGGTGAGGAAAGAGGCTCCATCCAAGAGGGAGGGACGGCGCCTGTGCCGATGGCCCGAGAGAGGGTCTGCTTGGGAGCATCCCTGTCTGGGTCCTGGGTTCCCCATTGGGGCCCAGGAGAAAGTGGCTGATTGGGTGCCCTTGTCCTGTACATACCAGGGGCTGGCTTGAGCCTGAGGGGACAGCGTGTCCTGAAGGTGGGGAGGGGTCTGGCAGAGTCGGGGACAGAACTGACCAAGGCAGCATGGTCCCAGTCAGGGCTGTCCCGAAGGCAGTTGCCCCACTGGGGAAGTTGGGACCAGCAGGCACCAGGCAGCTGCACCCACAGGCCAGCACAGGGTCTCGTCCCATTCGGCCTCTTGACCCCGGAGGAGCTATAAGACGCAGCCCATCCCCCATGAGGCTGAGGGAAGGCCAGCCGTGAGAAGGGCCGTGGTGTGACCTTATGCATCCCCCACCTCAGCCTCCACGCCAGCGTGCTGAGGACCGAGGCCAACACATACCGCTCGAGCAGCTCCGCCATGCTGGATGGCACAGGGGCTCTGGGCAGGTTTGACTTCGAGATCACCGACCTCTTCCTCTTCGGGTGCCCTCTGGGGCTGGTCCTGGCCTTGAGGAAGACAATCATCCCAGCCCTGGATGGTGAGAGCCCTGCAGGGCCGGGACGGGGGTGCATGAGCTGGGCGGGAGGTCTCGGTGGACCCCAGTCATGAGCCCGTGGCCACTTCCTGGGCACATTTCTTTCTGCCCTCCCCACCAAGGACCCACTGTTGACCTTTGCTCCTGCTCCAGCTGCTTAGTCACTATCCCATCCCTGACACCTGCTGTTTCATTTCATCTCCAAGAAGCCCATAGGAGCCAAGGGCCATTCCACAGACAGGGATGCTGAGGTCTAGGGAGGGAAGGCACCGCCCCAGGGTCAGATGGGGACAGACCCAGTGTTGCAGGTCCAAGGTCCTCCCAAAGGGGAGAGATGTGATGCCAGGCACCTACCCCCAAGCCTCCTGGGTGCACAGCTGCCCAGCCCTGAGCCCCGCATCTCGGTGGGGAGCAGGGAGGCTGCAGGCTGAGGATCCCATCAGAGCAGCAGCCCCTGCCCTGCACCCCCCAACCCCGCATCCCCGATGAGCCACCGCAGCTCCAGGGAGCCACACAGCCCTCCCAGTAGCCGTGCAGGACCCCTGTTACCTCCCCACGACAGAGGGAGAAACTGAGGCTGAGAGAGGTTTAGACACTGCCAAGTGCTAGGTGAAAAACACAGACCCCCCACACGCAGCACCCCATGCTCCCTCCCCTTCCACAAGTGACATGTACCTGTAGTTCCAGCTGTTCGGGAGGCTGTGGCAGGAGGATTGCTTGAGCCCAGAAGTTTGAGGTTGCTGTGAGCTATGATGATGCCACTGCACTCTAGCCCAGGTGACGACGTGTGACAGAGTGAGACCCTGTCTTCAAAAAACAAAAAAAAATTTAAAGTAAAATAAATAAATAAAGGGACAGTGACCCAGACAGGTCCCAAATTGAAAAAGACACACTTTGTCTTCTCCTAACTCACGGCGAGACAACCCAGGCCCCAGGCTCCCCACCGACTCCTTAGGGCAGAGGCAGCCCCAGGCTCTGCAGCCGACAACCCCCACCCCAGTTTTCCAGCTGCGGCCGGCCTGCCAGCAGGTCTACAACCTCTTCCACCCCGCGGACCCGTCCGCCTCCCGCCTGGAGCCACTGCTGGAGCGGCGCTTCCACGCCCTGCCGCCCTTCAGCATCCCCCGCTACCAGCGCTACCCGCTGGGCGACGGCTGCTCCACGCTGCTGGGTAAGGGGCCCGTGCTCCCCCAGGGTGGGGGAGGTGGGAGCCCTCCAGGTGGCTCTTCCTGAGGGGCAGGGGCCGCCGGCACTGAGCACCTCTCAGCAGTGGACGCCTGCGGAGGAGCGGGTGCACCAGTCCCCACTGGTCCCCTAGAGGCACAAATGGCTGTTTCCGCATTTCAGAGGGCACAGGTCAGGGCCTCACCCTGGGATGGGATGGGAAGCGGAGCTAAAGACCCAGGAGGGGCCCTAGCTGAGTCGGGGACACTATGGGCGGGGCACCATGACAGCAGGCAGCCGCTCAGAGATGGGGGTGCAGGGGATGAGGGAGGGGCGGACACAGGGCGGGCGTGGCCCCTCCCCCACCCCAGCGTGTGTCTGGCATCTTGTCCGTCCTAGTCTTTGAGGAGCTCCAAGTGTGTCCAGCGTGTCTAGATGGCCCACTCGAGTGTCTGTTCTTGTCCTCTGTTCTCTCCCCGTCTGCCTCCAGTCGAGACCGTGCAGAGAAACCCCGAGCTGGTCCTGGAGGGTGGCCCCCCGGGCCCTCTCCCCCACGGGGACGGCTTCCTGGAAACCAGTATCCCCGTTCCCGCGCCCACCTGGCAAGACGGGCCCCGCCAGAGCCCGGGCTGTGCTGAGTGTGTGTAACCCCCCCGCTCGTGGTGACGTCCGCTTGGCTGGCTGACCCCGCTCTGGTCCTCAGGCCCCCCCCAGCCTCTCCCCCAGCTACTGCGAGTTCATGGGACCTGGGTGGCAGGAAGGCCCCGGAGAGTGGCCTTGGCACCTTCTCCCTGCACACTGGGTCAGAGGCAGAGGGACCCGAGCAAAGGTGGGCACAGCTGCTCAGAGACAGGCAGGGGCTGTCTCAGGGCCACACACCATGTCAGTGACGGTCCAAGGGCTCTGTCCTTCCTCCCTGAGGCTGGCGGGAGCAGACAGGAGACAGGGTGAGGCCTCGAGCCTCAGGAACCCTCATCTGGAAAAGCTTCCAGTCCCAGCGAGGGGTGGCATTCTCTGGGGCCCACTCCCCACCCCGAGGTTGTCCAGGCACCTCCCCACCCCGTCCAAATGCAGCTTCTCTGGCCGAGCCCTGTCCTCCCTGCTGTCCCTCCTCAGCCCCGGCCCAGTGAGCTGGGCATGAGCCCTTGGCACCTGCCCTTGTCCCCAGATGCCCACTCGAGCTGGCTGTGGCCTGTGTGTGAGGGACGCCCAGGGACTCACCTTCTCGGCTTCTGCACATACAGAGCATCCCCAGGAAGCCACCCAAGACCCTGTTTCCAGCACCCTCAGGCCCAGGGTTCGGCCGCCACTGCTGCCGTGGGTGTGGGGCAGGCCGGGCTGGGCCGAGCCCCAGAGGCCCCGGCGCTGGTGGGGCTGCCAGGACTAGCTGAGGAGTGTGTGGGCGAGAGGGTGTCCGGGGGTGGGGGAGGAGCCCGGCTGCCTGGCCTCCCTGCCCTGTGTCTCTGTCCATCCGTCTGTCCAGCCTTGCCCTCCCTCCTCCTCCCTGCCTCAGCGCTGGGCCTCAGCCCTCTCTCCGCCCCGACCCCGAGCAACAGGACCTGATAGGGCCACTGCCCGGCCCTGGCTAAGCACACGCGGGGCCCTGGCACGCTGGCTCCCCCGCTGCTCGGGGCCTCGCTTACCTGGGTCTCCCCTCCCTGTCCACCTGCAGCGGACGCGCTCCAGACCCACAACACGGTCTTCCAAGAGCACGCAGCCCCCTCCTCACCCGGAGCAGCCCCCACCAGCCGCGGCTTCCGCCGAGCCAGCGAGATCAGCATCGCCAGCCAGGCGTCGGGCATGGCCGAGAGCTACACGGTGTCCAGCATTGCCCAGAGTGAGTGTGCCGGCGCCACCCCGCGCCCTCCTCACCCAGCTGGGGCCATCATGCCCCCCACTCCCGGACAGGTGGCAGGTCTAGAGGCATTTTTAGTTGCCGGGGTGGGGGTGCTACTGGCATGTGGCAGGTAGCGCAGGGATATGGCTGGCCCCCTGCAGTCCCAGGCCAGCCCCGCAGCAGGGAACGTTCTGGTCCATGCAGTGGAGAGGCGTGGCCTGGCCTCCCTCGATGCCTGGCTCCTGCCCACCACTCGGTCCCCTGGGTGCTGCCCTGGCGTGGCTGTGCAGGGGCCGAGGCTGTGCAGGTATTTCTGGAGGTGGCATCTTCACTGAGGGGCTCTCCTCAGTAGCCCCAGGCCTGGCTGTCTGCCCAGTGGCCTTCCTGGCTCATGCTAGATGTGGCAGCACAGTGGCCCCTGGAGTGGCTCAGCTGTCGCTGTTGTTCTTCTCCTCAGAGGCCCCTGCATCACTCAGCCACATCCCCAACATCAGGTGCCTGTCCCTGCTCATACTGTCCCAGCCCTGCCCTGCTCCCCCCAGTCCCCACCCTCCTGCGAGGCCGGTGAGCCCCGGCCCAAAGAGGGCCCCTGTGCCCTTGGCCTGGGCGTCGGAGAAAGTACCAGTCCTGCACCCACTCACACCATCTCCCTCACTCGGGGTCACTCAACTGTTACTGAACCCCTCTCACCCTCCCGCCACCAGGCCCTGCCACCTGGACCCCCACTGACACCTAATGGGGAATGGGGAGGACTCAGGCATGCAGGGAGGAGGCAGGAGCAGGTGGCATTGGCTGGCGGGCCCGGGGACCCCATGCAGTTGGAATGAGGCCAGATGAGGACCAAGGCGGCTCTGCAGCGTCCGTCACGCAGGCTGCACCCGTAACACAGGCACCGTGTGCCAGGCCCCTCCTGCGTGCAGCCACCCGGAAGGTACCCCTCGCCCAGCCCTTCAGGCAGAGCCTGGACACACACGCAGGACCGCCCCCCTGCGGGGCCTGAGCATCCCCACCCGCCTGCTACATCCCGGGGGGCGTGGGCGGCCCAGATGCTGAGGAGGGCAGCAGGCTCAGGCACCTGGGGGCTCAGGCACCGGAACCCCACCCTTGTGGTGCCTTTCACGGCCCTGAGGCCCAGGCGGCAGACAGGTGGAACGGCGGCACCCAGAGAGGGCGATGCCAGGGTCCAGGGCAGAGGTCATCAGAGCCAGTGGCAGGATGAGGAGGGCTAGTCCTGTCTTCAGCCACCAACCCCACTCCGGTGGAGCCACCTCAGCAGTGCTGAGTGCTGGCTGTGCAGGGCTGTCCCGGCATCTGTCCACGCCCCGGGTTCCTGCTCGGCCTGGGCAGAAGAGACTCACTTTGGCTACAGCTGGAGGGAGGGGCTAGGCTGGGCTGAGCCAGGCCAGAGGGGACAGGTGACCCTCCGGGGTCCCTGCCTGGGGCTGCGCGGCCCCGGCCCAGTCACGGCCCCCTCCTGGCAGTTGCTGCAAAGTGGTGGGGCCAGAAGCGGATCGACTATGCCCTGTACTGCCCCGACGCCCTAACGGCCTTCCCAACGGTGGCCCTGCCCCACCTCTTCCACGCCAGCTACTGGGAGTCAACGGACGTGGTCTCCTTCCTGCTGAGACAGGTACTCGGGCCCTTAGGGAGAGCCCTGGGTCACGCCACCCATGACTCGGCCCCGTTTCACAGATAAGGGGCATGGTGGGGACCCTCCCTCTATCCCCATGAGACCACAAAGCAAGCAGGTCGGAGGAACCTTTGTGCTGGAGCGTGTGTAGCCTGTTAGGGACGCTGGGACGGAGAGAACACACCCACACATTCATGGGGCACATAGGAATTTGGGGGGCCATTAGGCAGACTGCAGTGGGTTGAGTAGCATCCCCCCAATGCCCTCACGGGTTCTTCCTGCCGGCTCCTAGGGCGGCTCCCCAAGCAGGAGGCCCCAGGCTGGCGTCTGCCCCATGGCCTGCCCTGTCCCCCCAGGTCATGAGGCACGACAACTCCAGCATCTTGGAGCTGGACGGGAAGGAGGTGTCAGTGTTCACCCCCTCAAAGCCGAGGGAGAAATGGCAGCGCAGGAGGACCCACGTGAAGCTGCGGGTGAGGGTCCCCCCGGCGGCCCCGCCCCACGGCTGCCGCCCTATTTAACCCTCACTAGAAGCCCCGAATCATGGCCGGGGACGCTGAGTTGCAAGGACGTGCTATCTTGGTCTGTGCAGCTTAAGGTCGGAGCTGTGGCCTGTTTCACAGATGGGGACGCACAGCGAGGCCTCCCAAGCTCCCCAGGGCCACGCAGTCCGAGGGGCTGACCTGGACTCAACATGGGCCGCCTGGCTCTGAGCCCAGGCGCACCCCCGGCCCAGGAGGCCCCACCCCGACCCAGCCTTGCTCCTTCCCTCCCCAGAATGTCACTGCCAACCACCGGATCAATGATGCTGTCGCCAATGAGGACGGCCCACAGGTTCTGACGGGCCGGTTCATGTACGGGCCCCTGGACATGGTCACCCTGACGGGGGAGAAGGTCAGAACACGGGACTCCAGGTGTGGGGCGTGGGAGGCCAGGGTGCAGCCAGCTGCTGACCGGCCTGCCGGGCTCCCAGGTGGACGTGCACATCATGATGCAGCCGCCCTCGGGCGAGTGGCTCTACCTGGACACGCTGGTGACCAACAGCAGCGGGCGCGTCTCCTACACCATCCCTGAGACGCACCGCCTGGGCGTGGGGGTGTACCCCATCAAGATGGTGGTCAGGTAGGCGCCCACGCCAGGTGGGCGGGCGGGAGCAAGGGGCTCTGGCTGGTTCTGATGAGCAACCCGGCCCCGCCTGCCAGGGGAGACCACACGTTTGCCGACAGCTACATCACGGTGCTGCCCAAGGGCACGGAGTTTGTGGTCTTCAGCATCGACGGCTCCTTTGCCGCCAGCGTGTCCATCATGGGCAGTGACCCCAAGGTGCGGGCCGGGGCCGTGGACGTGGTGCGGTGAGTGGCCCTGAGGGGCACGATGGGGCTACAGCAGGGTGAGCAGGCCCGGGGGAAGGGACCCTGGCTTGGCCCTGGGCCTTCGGGACCTCCGTTTGGAGCCCAGCACCCCCACCGTAGGCTGTGTCACCCCGGGTGAGCGATTTGACCTCACCCAGAAAGTGAGGCTGGTAGGACCAGCTGTACCCCTGGTGCAGGCATCTCTGGCGATGGTGGGACTGACTCACGGCCTGCAAAGCTCCCAGGACCTGCCTGCCGGCGTGGGCACCCGTGACGGCTTGCTGCCACCACCGACACTGTCGTCATTGTCGGGTCACTGTTTGAGCCCACTCAGAGATGCAGCTTCCAGCGGCCCCAGTGGCAACGGCTGAGCAGGAGACAGGGAGGCCTGGGCAGAGGACGGGACGGCTGTGGGACACCAGGCCTGCCCTCTGTCCCCAGGCACTGGCAGGACCTGGGCTACCTCATCATCTATGTGACGGGCCGGCCAGACATGCAGAAGCAGCGGGTGGTGGCGTGGCTGGCCCAGCACAACTTCCCCCACGGCGTGGTGTCCTTCTGTGACGGCCTGGTGCACGACCCGCTGCGGCACAAGGCCAACTTTCTGAAGCTGCTTATCTCCGAGGTGGGTCCCGGGGGCGCAGAGACGGGCAGGGGGCAGGGCAGGGGGCAGGGCTGGGGCAGAAGGGCCGTGCCTGTGACCCTGCTGTTCTCGCCCATAGCTGCACCTGCGCGTGCACGCGGCCTACGGCTCCACCAAGGACGTGGCGGTCTACAGCTCCATCAGCCTGTCACCCATGCAGATCTACATTGTGGGCCGGCCCACCAAGAAGCTGCAGCAGCAGTGCCAGGTGAGTGGGCACGTCGTGGGGTTGGGCGCAGGTGGGCAGCTCAGGACCCCCAGCCCCTGACAGCCCCTGCCCCTCACCACCCCGCAGTTCATCACGGACGGCTACGCGGCCCACCTGGCCCAGCTGAAGTACAATCACCGAGCACGGCCGGCCCGCAACACGGCTACTCGCATGGCGCTGCGCAAGGGCAGCTTCGGCCTGCCAGGCCAGGGCGACTTCCTGCGCTCCCGGAACCACCTGCTCCGCACCATCTCGGCCCAGCCCAGCGGGCCCAGCCACCGGCATGAGCGGACGCAGAGCCAGGCAGAGGGCGAGCAGCGCGGGCAGCGCAGCTTGAGCATGGCGGCCGGCTGCTGGGGCCGCGCCATGACTGGCCGCCTGGAGTCGGGGGCAGCCACGGGCCCCAAGTAGGGCACCGTGAGTCCCGCACGGGGTCTCCATGGTGCTAGGCCAGGGTGGCCAGCCCAGCCAGGAGGCCTGGCCTGGGCACACGCAGGCGCTGGGGACAAGCACAGACATGGGCCTGGGAGCTTGTCCCAGGGTCCCTCAAGGACACAGGCCGTGCCACACAGTCCTCCCAGCCCTGCCTCACGTCCTAGGGTCTGAGGGGTCCAGCTTGTCGTGGAAGCTGCGGGACCACCAGCCCCAGGATGACAGAGGGGCCAGGACCCCCGCCAGAGGCTGGCCTGGCTCTCCCAGACTTACTGCCCTGCGTGGATCTCCCCACGTCCTGGTGCCGGCTGTGGGCCAGGGCCCAGCCTGTGACCTCCCTGCCACCGGCTCACCTCACCCCAGTCCCTCCCATTTGGTAGCAGCTCCGTCAGGGGCCAGCCTGCTTCTTGTTAACTCGAGCGACTCAACTGTTCAACCTCACTGGTTTTGCACTGATTTCTGAGAGCGGTGACCCATTACCGTCTTCTGTGGCTACAGACCCGTTGACATGCATGAAAATTCAGTATTTGCTGACCCAGGACCTAGGACCACACCAAGACTCCAGTGCGGCAAATCCTTGTGCAAGCAGGAAACAAAGGCCATCATCTTCCTTCTGCAGCCCAGACCCCTGCCCTCTGTCCGCTTGCCCTACCCGGAGCCCAGGCTGGCCTCAGGCCTGGTACCGTTTCCGGCCTGGACACAGCCCAGGCGCAAGGCTGCGAAGCCCGGCTGCCTCTTCCACACCTTGCCATCAGCCAAGGCCCCTGCAACGGCCGCCGCCTGCCCGTTTCTACGCCTTTCTACTTCTCGATCTGATTTCTATGAGGTTTTTTTAAATGAGCAATCCTTGGCTGCTTCCTTTTCTTAACTTCAGTACCAAGCGCAGCCCTTCCACACTGGAAACACCCAGCACTGTGACGGAGTCCAGCCTGGCTCCGGGCGAGGGCCCCGCCGCACAGTGCGGCGTGAGCTCCTGCCTCACCCAGCCCATCAATCCCACTGAATTTCTACTCTGGGGTGGGTGGGGCACACTTAGGTTTTTTTAATGCCAATTCCGTTTTGATGCCGAATCTAAGAAGCCACAACTTGCTTCGTCAGCTTGAGGGCAGGTGGCCCCGATTCGTCTCTCACCCAAGCGAGGACCATGCTGTCCTGCACGCCGGTCCTAGCATCAGCCCTGCCCCTGGCCCCCAGCGCAGCCTCAGCTGTGGCGCTCAGCTGCTGGCTCCCGGCGGCCCGGCGGCCCGGCTGCTCCCCACCTTCCCTGAGGTGGGAGAGCCTGCCTGGCCTTGCCAGCCGTCCAGAGACCAGGCCTGTCCCTGAGAAGCTGCGGCCAACCTGGATCTGGCCTCGGGGCTGCGTGGGTGGGGCTGGGGAGGTGCACAGATCGACGTTACCTTTTCCCTGTGTGTAGATATGTACAGCCAAAGGGTCTTGTAAATGTTCTGCAAAAGTGGGTCTATACAGAGTGAAAGCTATTTATTTTGTGCAGAGAGGGATGGAAGCTTCAGGGTTTATTCATATTTAAGATGTAGCTTTCTGTTGTTGTTTTGGGCGTTATGTATAAAGCAACGATTATTTTACGGACCAAGTTTTCACATAACTGTTGCAGTGGAAGTGCAATATCTGACCCCCTCTGCTCCCCAGCGGGAAGTCGCTTGGCCTGACAATCACAGCCCCGGCCAGGGGCCCCTGTGGCCGGTGCTTCTCCTCTCCCGGCCCTGCCTCACCCTGTCCTGCCTACGCCTCGGTGACCAGCCATCTGGAGAAGCACCTAGAAGGGGCTCAGGCCCTCCTGCAATAAGGGTCGGGAGGCCCCGTGGGCAGTGGGCTTGGCCTCTCCCCAGAGGCAGCTCCCCTCGGCCCCACACTCCCCACCTGCCTGCCCAGCTGCCAGCCATGCCAAGGACAACAGCAATAGTCCCCTGGGCCTCCCCAGCGGCCCTTAGCCATAGACGGTGAGATGGGCAGCCCACCCTCCCCACGCAAGTCTCTCTTTTGTATCCAGGTCTGCTTTCTGCCTCCCTTAAGGTTCCTTTTGGCACATTCTCCTCTTGAGAAAGTACCAGTTTCTCAGAAACTAAGAGAGGGAGGGCAACGTCCTTGAAAAATACCAAAAATGTTTACAGTGTCAGGTGCTGAGCCACAGGGCTCAGGCCTGACGAGTCATAACCAAAGGGTGAGGCAGGCCTTGCTGACTGCCACCCCCACCTGGGCCTGTTAGAATAGAAGCCTTAGTCCCTCACCCCCACACCCCCACGCCCCCTGGACCGAGCCTCCACTCACCCCCAGCTCCCGCCACCTGCCTTCTCTTTGATTTCTACAGAGGGATTCAGCAGAGCCCTGCCCCTTCCTGGCTCGGTCTGAGCTGCTGCCGCCCTGGCGCAGTCTCCACAGGGCCCCTCCCATCTGTCTGTGTGCCGTCTGTCTCTCCGGGCCACGTGTGAGCGGTGTCCTGACTCCCCACCCACCCTTGCTGTCTCTGCATCCCTGGGCCTGAGTGTGCTCTGTATACAGCGTCACTGTCTGTTATTCCAATTAAAGAAGCAGGAAGGCTTCCTTTTGGGTCTCTTTACTGCACGGGCAACTGTGGGTTGGGGTAGCAGGTAGGGGCAAGGGACGGAGGCATGGCCTGCCTCACCACCTAAGCTGTGGTGGGGAGAGGCCGCCCTTCCCAATGCCCGAAGCCAGCTGCTCAGTGACAGCAACAGACTCAAGTGGGGCTGACTCTGGGCCGGGCCTGCTCCCGGCCCCTCCGGCAGGAACTCAGTGCGTCCCCGCAGCAGCCCTGTGACGCGGGTGCTGCCAGCCTCTCTGCTTCACAGAGGACACACCGATGACCTGGCCCCAGTGCCTGGGTTCTCAACGGTTGTGATCTGTGGAATACACATGGCAAGGGAAGCCATCGCTCTCCACGCCCAAGCAAATCTAATGTAAGAGCCAAGACTCCGGGCTGGAACTCCGCTGGGCATGGGCCTCAGGGTATGGTACAGGTGAGCTGACCTGAGAATGGGGGTGGAGGCAGCTGGTGTGGCCTCTGTTCACTACCACGGGGAGACACCCAGCTGTCCCCAAAAGCTCCTGGAGGTCAGAAGCACTCTCCCCTCCCCCCCGCACAAAAAGCCACAGAACAGAGGATGTCTATAACCAGGGAACCTTTAATATATCTGGGAAGCTTCCCTCTTTCAGGTGGGGGTGCTGCGTAAGCCAGTGACCCCGTCCTCCACCCCCTGCACCCGAGAAAAGGCTGGCGGGGCTACAGGTTAACCCACAGGAGAAAAAGCAAATGGCACCCAGCAGGCTTCCTGCTGCCACCCTGAGACCTGCCACCAGGCCGGGCCACCAGCATGGTCCAGAGGCCTTGGCCAGCCCAGGCCCTCAGGGAAGCAGCCCAGCTCGCATCTGGAAGGCCAGGCCGTCCCCTCGGGTGGCTTGCTGGGGAAGAAAGCACACAGAAGGGGGGAACATCAGAAGCAGAGCTGGGGGTGGACGGTGGGCAAAGGGGCAACACCAACCTTGTTGATCTCTCTGTGTCGTTCTTTGGTTACGATTTCCTCCAAGACCTCGCCATCTCCCTTGATGAGCCTGGGAGTGGGGGAAGGGTGTTCATTCAGCAAGGACTAGGCAGAGCCCCTAATGCCAGAGCAACAGAAACAGCACCCAGCAGAGGGGTCCTTGGGCTCTAGCCCCGCCACCTTGAGCAGGCAGACCTGGGCACTCAGCCCCTCTCCTTCCCAAGACAGGGATGAAGAAGCCAAGGTGGGCTCTGCCTTGCCAGCCTCCCCCATCAGCCTGGCTCACAGCAGCCCTTGGAAGAGGCTCCTCAGGCCTTTCCTGACCCTGCAACTGCTTACTCCAGGCAATGGGGAGAAACAGCTGGGGTGTCGCATCACAAGTGACTGTCCTTTTACCCACATTTGGCCTTTCTAGAACAGCAGCGTCCACTACTCCTCCTTCCTGAGTGCATGTCTTAGGCCAACGCTTCCAGACCCAGCGGTGTGGGGCCAAGCTGTGCCAAGGGCTCTGCACCTGGTTCGTCCTGTCTCGGGGTCCACCACCTTGCGGATGACACTCTGCCGGGCATCCCACTCCTCCTTCGTCATGGGCTTCATGGCCTGAATGCGGGACTTCTGCTCATCCGTGAGGACTGGAAGAGAACACGGGAGGTGGTAGCCAGGCCTTGGGGAGGGGACCCTCCCCCTCATGCACACACCACAGGGCAGCACGGTACCTGGGCCATCCTCTTCCTCCCCCGCTGATCTGTGCCACTGGTCCAGCGAGGGGCCCGGCAGAGCCTCGGCCTGCTGCACTTCTGCCTTCTCCTTGCCTTTCTTCTTCAGCTTCTTCCTTTTCTTCTTCTTCCTCCTCTTCTTGTCCTTGTGCTTCCCCCGCTTCTTCCGGCCATCGCTGGAGGAAGGGGAGGAGGAAGAGGAGCTAGAAGAACTGGAAGAAGAGGAGGAGGAGCTGGATCGTGGTCTCCTCCGGGCCTTGTGCTTGCTTCTCTCTGTGACGCAGGGAGAAGGTGAGGCTGGAAGGCCGGGAGCGGAAAAAGCAAACCTTCGTTCCCTGGCTCCGGACTGGGGCAGGCTCAGGCTTCTACAGGGTGGGACCCTCCCCGCAGGGCTTTCCAGAGCAGAAACCGGCTCTTACCCTGGAGGAGCACACTGTGGGCTCCCCAGGTCACTGTCTGCCCAGAAAGAGGGCGGCCACCCCCCCACCCCCGCCCAACTGCACAAAAGGCAGGATTAAGTGTTCCCTCTTGGGGGTTTTCCAACCTCGACGCCATACTCCGCGTCCCTGCCTATTGCTCACTCCCATTTCCCCACAGCCGCCCGCGCTGCCTCCCGTGAAGTCGCCGCACCCCCTTCCCCAATCCCTGTGGTCCTCACCCTCCGCCCCGGGGGTAGCGCTGGCCCGGCGACCTTGGGATCCAGAAGGTGAAGAGTTCTTCGAAGCGTCCTTACTACTCCTCTTTCTCTTTTCCGACCCTCGCCCCCGGGACCGGCTGCGACTCCGCGAGCGCTTGCGAGAGCCGACGTGAGCCATAGCGCCGCGGGCTGGAAAAGGGGAAGACGCGCTTAATCCGAGGACCCCTTTGGGGCCTAGCCCTCGGGACGCCCAGCACCTGTGGCTGCCCCGGGGAACTGCGCGATCCTCTCCCACCCCCACCCTCGGGGACTCCAGCTTCTTCGCGACCCCGGATCCTGCGCAGCGGCCCCTTTAAGGGCGCGACCTGCCCGGACGCTCCACGCCTGCGCACCCGGATCGGAGCCCCGGGGAACTGGCCACAATCCTCTACCGCGGGAGGCGCTTTGAGTCCTTTCCTGCTCGCTCCTGCCTTCCACCCCGCGGTCTCTACGGCCTCGCCGCCTTGAGGGGGCCCCCGGGGCTGCCCAATCCCTACCTCAACCGCCCATCGGGCTAGAGCGCCAGCCCGAGCCACGCCTTCGCGTGAGGAAGCGGAGGCAAGGTGGCTTCCGGCCCGGGGCGCGGCATGGGAGGCTGTCCGGTAGGGAAGCGAGGCGCTGCTGCTTTGCGTTCCCACGCCCCGGGTTCCGTCCCTGGAGCAGAGGCGAGCTGGGCAGCCAGGCTTCGGTCTCCAGGCAGGTGCGAGGCAGCGCCCGCGTCGCAGCTCCGCGCCCAGCCAAAGCCAAGCTCTCCGGCCCCTCACGCCTGTCTTGCCGAAGCTGCGCCCTCTCCCAAGACCGCCCTTTGGGCGCGCGCCCGCAGCACCGGCCGCCTCCACGCCCAGCGAAAAAGGCGACCCTCCTGCGCGCCTCTCGCCTCCCAGGCTTGTCGCAACCTGTCCACTCCATCAGACTGTGAGCTCCAGCTGAGACGCCCGGGTCTTTCCGAAGTCCCCACCCAGTAATACAGAGGTCGCAAGCTCAAGTGGCGGTAAGGGGCCATAGACATCTTGACAATGAACGAGGGAGTGGACCACAGGCCTGTCCAGAGTGTGACGCTGCGACTCCGCTGCAGCTGTTCTTTGCAATGTGGGAATGGAGCCTGGTGTTTCCACCTTCCCAGAGAAACCAGAACGCAAGATTTCAATAGGGAAATCCCCTGGTTTTCAAAGGTGCAACCTAAAGAAAGCATGGCTGTGCTTGCCATCCAATCTTGGGACCACCAAGTTGCAAACTCTTCAACAATAACGACAGCAGTAAACACAGAGGGCTGTTATAAAACACTTTATAAACGTTGGCACATTTGATTCTCTCCTCTGCAGCCACGTCCGTGCCCAGCGGCTCCCTGCCCTCTGGCTTCCCTCACTCTCTTAAGGCTACGACCTCCATGAAGCTCTGTATCAGACTCTGCTTCCAACAAACTTCAGCTAAGCCAGTCTGTCTGGCCAAAGAATGATCCAGAAGCCAGCATGTCCTTTTGAATCAACAAGTGCAGTGGCCTGCAGGGAGTTTATTTCTGCCTTCATCTGCCACACCCTCCCCAACACAGGGTGGAACCAGGCTCAGGTCAGTGCACACACGTCCACCGAGGCGGGCTCCTCTCGGGTGAAGCCATCCCCAAAGCCCTCGTCATCCACCAGGTCAGGTTCGCGGCAGCACATGGGACAGAGGCGGTTGCGCACAGCAGAGGCCCGGAGCCAGATGACCAGGTTCCAGCGCTCACCAGTGCCCAGGGGCCGGGCACCGTGCAGCTGGCCACCTCGGTGCAGGACACCCTGGCCCACCACGTGCTGTACCTCCAGGGGCTCTGTCAGAGCTGCAGGTGCCTGTGGATGGTAGGGCTCAGGCCTGGGCACCCATGGTTACCCCAGGCCCTGCCCCATGGGTCACACACTCACCTGGAAAAAGCCCCCAAAATAGAGGGCACCCCCGGTAAAGGCCTTGCCCAGGGCCACGTTGAGGGTGAGCTCGGCATTATCATAGTGGCAGCCCAGCTCACGGTCCTGGCCTGGTGCATACTTGACCACGAAGGCACGGTGGCTGTCAAGCTGGCCCCCGCCGCAGTCTGGGTATAGCAGGGCCATTAGCGGCTGCAGGAAGCGCTCCCGCAGCGGCACCACCAGAGGCTCATCCAGCCCCAGCTCGTGTAGCAGCACCTGGGAGAAGATCCCTGAGGTCAGCAGGGAAACTGGGGGGGGGCCCCGCCCTGCAGCCCAGGGAGCTCCTCAGGATGTGCTAAGGACCGTGCTGGGTGCCTCGTCCCACTTCACAGTGTTGCTACCATGATCTCACTTCACAGGCAGGGCACGCAGCTCATCTGCAGCACCTGGACGCATCTCCCTGACCCCAGCCACCCACCTCGGGCCCTCTAGGCCAGGCCTCACCCACCCCATAGTTGTTCATGGTGTTGGGCCTTCCCTTGGGCATGTCCGACTGCTCGAAGTGGTCCAGCTCCTCCAGCAGGGCCTGGCAGAATGGTGCCGTGAACACGGGCACCCGGTAGATGCGCTTCTCCTCTGCAGAGGGAGGGACAGTCTGTCAGCTGGGAGCGCTGGTGTGGGCCGGACGGGCCTGGGTTTCAATCTCCTCATGAATTGTGGGAGCCCAGGCTTGTCTTTTCACTTCCCCCCAGCCTCAGTTTCCTCATCTGTACCATGGGGATAAGAAGGGCCCTCCCCTCTCAGGGCTGCTGTGATGATTAAACGTAATGCGTGAGAGCGGGGGCGGCCAAGTCACGTGGTCCCTGCTCGGCCCTGGAGCCTCTCCCCTGACTCCGCGAGTGCCCACAGGGCTGGCTTCCAGAACTCGCATGTGGGTCCTGAAGCCCAGAGAAGGGAAGGGACTAGCCCAGGGACATCTAGCAGGCCGGTGACAGAGCCCAGCCAGGACCACAAAGCCAACATCAGGCTCTCTCTGCACCCCCTTCCCCCTGGCAAGCCTCCAAAGTCTGCACCCCAACCCAGAAGTATCTCTGGGAGCCTCTGATCCCCACACAGGAAGGCCAAGAGGGACTGCTCTTCCTTGCCGGGCCCTGAGGGAAGAAGCCAGGCTGAGAATGGAAACGTAAACATTTCTTGGCAGGTGCACCAATGCCCAGGGTATAGGGTTGGTGTGCACCTAACACAGCCACCTTGCAGTCCGGCCCCTACCCCAGCCAAACAGCGTGGCACAATCTCAGCTGCTGGGGAGTGGGAGGCAATGAGGAGGGTACCCCCAGGCTGAGAGGGGGTTCATTCCACCTACGCCCCCCAACAGAGCATTCCTTGCCGATCCCTTAACCCTGCCCACATCTGTCTCAACTGTCCCTTCATTAGGCTCTTTGATCAGCCCTGTTTGAGTGTGCCAGCTGTCACACACCTGATACAAACACCCTCTATTTGTTGGATGAGTGGATGAATGAATACAGACGCCCTGCTCCCGGAAGCTTGGTACCCCTGGCCCTTCCAGCTCCTGCTGGTTTGGTTTTTGGAAACAGATATGATAGCTGGAGGGACCCCAGTCTCCCACACCGAGGTATCCCAGGCTCCCCGCCACCCCTCCAGCCAGGCCAGAGGGCCAAGACCTCACCTGACACTGTCTCTAGCCGCTGGAGAAGGCCCTTGAAGTCTGCGCCGGGGGATGTGCTATACTGAGCCACAGCCAGAAACTCAGGAGCCAGAGCTGCATCCTGGGGGCAGCGCACACCAGCTGTGAGGCAGGCAGCCCCCAGGCCTGCTGCCGCCGCCTCTGCCAGTAACCACCCTGGAGCTCCCTGCCTAGTACCTGCAGCAAGTTGTAGACCTCGGGCCGTGCCGGGTGGTAGGAGCTTGCAATGAGGGCTTTCCTAGCAGCTGACTCCTGCCCCAGCCGCCGCCGCCGCTCCACCTCCTGCTCAAGCTGGGGTGGCACAGGGCTCAGTTACCAGGTGGGCCTCCCATCCCCGCGAGGCCACTGTACAGATGAAGAAACTGAGGCCCAGGAAGGACAGGGCAGGGCCCAGGCTGGAAGCCAAGTCTCCCTCCCTACACTCCTGAATCTATCGGAGTCAACTGCAAGTGTCAAACTGTTGGCTAGAGGGAACTTCTGGAAGCAGACCCATCCGTTTCGGACTGCTCCAGCCTCAGCCTGGCTGGGATGAGAACCCCTGGAGGTACCTCCACCAGCCAGGCCCGCCTGGGGAGAGGAACAGAGTCACAGTCAAGTGCTGAGGCTGCCGAGGACTCTCCTGGGAAGCTCGGTTGGGGAGGAGGTCAGAGCTGAGCAGCCGCAGCCCTGGCACCAGCCTAAGAGGTGGGTGGACAGGTATGAAGAGCCCAGGGCCTGGCTGGTGGCTAAGCTCTGCCTGCTCCGAAACCTTGGGCAAGTGACTCCCCTCTCTGAGCCTCTGTTTCTTGACCCAAAATGGGGGTGATGGTTGTGCCTAACTCACAGCTGTTAAGAAGAGCATGGTGTAGACCACTTGGCATTTCCCCCTTTCTTCCTCCTCCTGGTGCAAAACCCAGGTGAGACGGCAGGAAGGGGGCAAGGGATTGGGGACTGACAGGCCTGAGGCCAAGAGACCCCTCAAACTGCTGACACAAATCGAAACAGGCAGGGCTGTGCTGTCCAGGGTGCAGGGGAGTGTTACCTCTGCCAGCAGCTCCTGGAAGTCCTTGGTGCTGACACAGCCTCGGCTGCGCAGGATCTGGGAGCAGAAAGACCAGTGAGCTTGACTGTGTGACCTTGGGCAAGTCCCTTAACGTCTCTAGGCCTCAGTTTCCCCTCCTTAAAGTGGAGAGGGGAGTCTCGACCTC